CGGGCCCGGCGCTGCCTCCAGCCTCCCCGCACGCGCGGGGCCAGACGGGCAGCACCCGCCGGGCAAGGAGGGCGCGAGCCCTTGTACCAACCGTCTGAACAAAGAACAACCCCCCGCAGCGACTGTGCCCCTCGGGTGTTCGCAGGGCGCCGCGGTCACCCTGCAGGCGACACTGCCACGGCCCGCTCTGCCCGTCGGGGTCTGCGACGGCCTCGAGCCCCAACACCGGGGTGCCCGTTGGCCACCAAGGAGAGCGGCCTCGTGCCGCGGGGCTGCTGCCCACGCGGGTCCGACCGCAGCGGCCGCAGCCCCGGGCGCGAAGGAGCCCTGAGCTCCTGCGGGGAGCTGGGAACAGCGCGCGATGCAGCGTGGCACAAAGTGCAGAGTGCAAAGCAAGCCGCTGCCTTGCACTAAGCCAAAACCTCTCACACTCATACCATCTACTGAGCACCCACCTGCACGGTTCGGTCCCGGGAAGAACCAAGACATCCCTTTGCTTTCTTCCCAAAAGTTGCTTGGTCCTGGGGAAAAAAAAAAGATCAGGGAAAAAGTTGACAGCTTTGGTTTCAAACCAACCCCCAAAATATTCCCTAAGTGCCCGCCAGGCAGGACACCGTGCTGACGAACCGCCAGACACGGGAGCCGGCCGGAGCTGCTCCGTTCCCTGCAGTGCTCCGAGCCCCTCCGCGTGATGCCACCAACAAGCAGCACCCCCAGGGCAGTTACCCCCTCGGCTGAGATGGGGCTCCAAGAAAATGCTGCAGCTCCTCCAGGGTGACCACAACTCCTTGTCTGATCATGGAAGAAAGATCACTCAGACAGTATTACTTATTTCTAGACACATTAAAATGATTCAGCCTGGGTTGACATTTCTGGAGATTTGAACCTTTTGAAATACCATTACAAGACCACGTTTTTGTTTTTTAAACCAATGCAGAGTTCATTTATTTTTGTACTTACAAAAAGAGCCACCCCCTTTACATCCCTCCCCCACCCCCCAAATGCCTTTTACAAACATTTAAAAATTAAAAACCAGATGATGATGTGTTAATTTGGTAGAATTACTTTGAAACATAGCTTTTGTAATTAAGAGTTAGATTTTCTACAAGATGACTTTGTAGAGATAGCCTGATTATTGGCCAAATAAAATTCCTTATTACAAGTTAGCAAATTCTAGTACAAAAATAGTCCATGTGTTAGAACAGCCTCTTATTATTATTATTATATTCACAGGAAAGAGTCTATTGGCTGTATAATACCTTAATATTTATGAAATTTCTTTTTATGTGGCTCATTCATCTAATTAATATAGTGTTGAGCCTCAATAAATCCTCAGGCAAAAAACCCTAAACAGGGTTAAATATGCTGTTCAGTGTACTCTGAAGTACTGTGCTTTTCACAGGACATCCAAGAAACCTGACAAACAGTTCTCAGCTAGTTTTGATATTAAAATGAGATCCAGATCCAAAAGGACCCCCTGAAGTACATATCCACGACTTTCCACAGAAACAGAGGCCCCAGCTTTGGTGGTTAAGTTTCACTTGGGAAACGGTCTAGCTCATCCACTCATATTCACGAATCCACTTGTGATCTTCCTTAAAAACTGAAGTAGGACACTCGTGAAACACCCGGAACCCTTCGATACTGCCTCTTCATTCCGACAGGGCTCTCCTCTCCTCCGTTTCATGCTGTTCAGCAGTTTCTCTCGGACCAGGCCCCTCAGGGAAAATCTGGGAACATGCTACTTGTCTCTCAAGATGTCTAGCTGCTCTTGATATTCTGTGAAAAGCCTCTGGAAGCGAAGGTTCTGTCCAATAACAGGAAGAAGTTCTTTCAATAGTTCTCTCTTTCGTAAACCCTGCAAAAATACCACAAAAGCATCCTCATAATGTATTTGATATCATGAGTATTTTCCACAGGACTATTTAGGAATCAGGCTTTTTTCTCCTTGCCTGGAGAGTGCTGTTTATCTCATGCTTTTATGCCATGTACATAGCTCCCCAAATAAAAACTGCTTTTGTATTTATACATCCATGAAGCTGGTGCAGCTTCCACACAGTTACAGGCTCTATTCGTGCTGCATGTTCCGCTGCACATTCCTATTACAGCGTTGGTGTGTGAGGAATGTGGAGACTTGAATGTGCAACCCTACTCCATCTGCTTGATATTCAAAACAGCACCAGAATGGAGCCCATGAAACTACGTATTTGTCTACCATTTCACAAGATATAAATACAATTTCACATGATATAAATACATGTTTGTTGGCAAGAAAGAAGTAGAGAATTAAGAGGTTTCAGGGTTAGCAAATGTCGTGGTTGATTTCTTGACACAAAGCTTCAATCATATTCTAAGTTTGATGGACTATGCATTTTCTGTGATTGGCATGGGAAACCCTCCTTCGTTCCTTGTCAAAGCTTACCATTACTGTTGATTCCCACTGGCTTCCAGCTGAGTAATGGACTGGACCCAGTAAATCCTTGCATAATTCTCGCAAACGATATTCAAACCCTACAAATGATCAGAAAAAAAGAAAAAATAACACACTGATAAACATCTAATTGTACAAAAGCAGTTTACAAATCAACTAAAACCCTTCAGGAAGAAATTACAAGCATCTAGAATAAAATAAACCCTAAAAGTACAATTCCTGAAGAGGTTATTTTCCTTTAACTAACAGGAAATCTTTGTAAAGATAACATGTCTGGTAAAGATTCATTTCAAATTTCCAAATGTTTTTATCTCAAGTTCCCCCAAACAAACAAGGCTAATTAAATTACTCTAAAACATGGAATAAAATTGGAATAGATAGTCCAGTTAGTTACAACAGCCATCCCAATCTCAAGTTTGCCCTCCCACCCCAACAGGGTGTGTGTGTATATAAATACAAAATTTTATACAATATAAATATACAGATAAAAGGCAAGTAACAAGCAAGCTGCAGCTGCCCATGGTCTGATACAAACTCTAACCCCAGCAATTCTGTCACTTGATAGCATGCAGTGATCACCACTTGACTGAGGAACATATTCATATTTCACAAGCTATTGCTGCTTCCCAAATGTGTCAAGTGTTGCTGCCAGATAATATATCTGGATATAATATCATTTGACAGACAGATCACTGGCCTCTTCCACAATGTAATTCCTATTATTGCAGTCCATAGGTGGCACTGCTTCTCCAAAGCATTCTCAGTTCATAGCCAGCAGCCAGCACAAAATTCAGGAGCACTGAGCACTACAGGAGGCAAACACACTTCAGCCTTTTTTGTTTTTAATTAACCACTGAGTCCAGAAGGCAAGTGGTAAATGGAAGAACGTTAAGTACAACTATAAATTAATATCACACAAATAGAGGGTTTCTTAAAAATACATCAGAGCTACAAAGAAGTCACTCAGGAGGTCAGGTCTCACCTTCATTAACTAGGTACCGTGCATAGATAAGGAGCCAGTGGCGATATTCGTGACTGGACTGTAACATAAGTGCTGCTGCTATCTGATTCTCCAGGTATGCAAGTGTTGTTTCTTGTTGTACTAAATGAGGCATGGAGAACAACCTGGCAGCTTGCCTTCCTGAACTACAAAATCAAGAGAAAAGTTAGCATGACAGCCATGAATTCAGAGGTTAATTTAAGGAATATGTATTTTAGTAATACAGGAGAGACTTTGTGTATGCAAAGGTTTCAGAGTAGGGCAGGAAACCACTTTATGTGCTACCAGTAGATTCATTTTTTTTGTCAACATCAAGAATTGACTCACTAATTCAAGAACCTAAGTAACACAGGAAAAAAAAGAAACAAAGAAACAAAGGAATTAACCACATACTTTGATGTTCGTCCCTGTATTACAGCTAAGGGCCCAGAACACAGCATGGCTTCTTGGGACGGTAAACTATTCCTGAAGTCTGCGCATTGCGCTAAGGAGTCCTGCTTGTCAGAAACAAGATTCCTGCAAAAAAGCAAACCAAAAAACAAATTTGAAGATAGTAAGCAGTGAGGTTCATCGGTTCTGCTCTGTCCTGCCTTGCATTTTCAGAGATTACGAGGGGGAGCAAAAAAAAAAAAGAAAGAAAAAGAAAATACACATATATACATATATACAAACACATATAAACACAATAAACACACACGCTCACACCTCAGATTCACTCAAGAATTCCACTGACAAAAATTATTCTGATTCAACATCCAAATTTTGCATGTGCTTTCACAAAAACATACCTCTCGTGCCAAAGTTGACAAGATTAATGGCATAATGCAATTCAGAGTTAATTTTCAAAAGCACAAGGAAATCCACACTCAACATGCTATTTTTTTTTTGTCTAGCAAATAGTCAGTCCCCAAAAGGAAGGCTGGAGGGAACACATGTAAGGACTTTCTCATTATGAACCTAATTTTACCTCACATCAGGTCCCTCCACCCCTAGACAAGTCATCATGGACCATACATTTTGACAACCTTTTCCATACACTACAACTTTTCCTTCATATTGAGGGGGGCTGACAGTTACAGCTGACATTTCCACATCTAATCAAGGGTATCATTTTCACTGGTCTGAGATGTCAAGAGAATCAGTGGCTCAAACGAATGCCAAGTTTAGACCTCCAGACAGAACAGAGGTAGGACAGCATAAATATTTAAAATAACGGTCATTGCTTCATCACAGTTTAATTCTGTGTTGATGACTAAAAGAAATGCTCTTTTATATAATTCTAAAGCTGTGATACAAGCCACACATGTTTTTTGTGAAAAAGGTTCTGAATTGTGGCTGAGAGCCTGTCCTCTGGTCCACATTGACTGTGAGATAGTATACGACTTACCACGTAGAAAGAGAAGGATTAAAACAATATGCCTTTCCATCAGACATACTCATTACAGGTATACCATGCTGAGTCAGCAAGATCTGAGACATAGTTGCATCACTTCCTACAAATCAAACCAAAATATTTTTTTGAGCTTTGTATAACATCCATAATGGTATTAAGTGCTATCCACCATTATTAACAATTTGTAGCAACTAACAGGAAAAGGTTGAATGTTAATTCTCAAATACCAACAGGAAAACCAAGACACCAAATAGTGATCTGGCACAGCAGGCTCACTGCAGTAGCACCAGTACCATTCTGCTTCAAATTACATTATTAATATTGATACTGCTATTTATACAGAACATTGGCTTTAGTCAAAACATGTTCCTTAACTAGAGAAAATCCTCAGCATTCCTGTGGTGTCTTCTGTAACCTGAAAAGCCTTTAGCTTCTTTCTCTCATTAAGCCAAAATGCTAATAGATTTTAGTGTCAACATCAAGAATTGACTCATTGATTCAAGAACCTAAGTAATAGGGGAAGGCAAAAAAGGTGAAAAAGTAATTAACCTTTTAGTAATTAACCTAATTAGAAAAAGATTCTAAAAGATTCTAAAAGATAGAAAAGATAGCCCAAGTGGGATAACTAGAGTCTCTCATTTCCCAACATTTCCCTCTCCAAGGGCTTGGGCACATTAGTACAGGACTAATTGATTATGCCCTGTAAATTCCAGTGAAGACATCAGTGCAAACCAAGAAGGAATGTTATTTGTTTAGGCTTTCAGGTTTTGTAAAATTTCAGCATATTCATAGAATGCACTACATAGTACTGGTGTGTTCAACGGCTGGTAAATAACCCATTTTATTACCTGATAATATTGTTTGCAAAGACTCATCTCTAACAATGACTGTCTGTTTGTGGACATCCCTGAAAAACAAACAAAACGAAAGATCTTCAGTTTACAAATAACTGATGCCTCAAAATCATTTAATACTCGTATATTTACTATATTCATGACATAACATTTTATTATTTTCTTCATTGCTTTAACAAAACAATTTTGGCAAATCCCTAGCGGTAAGGCAGGAGTTAATAGCACAGAACAACTTTTACAGACCTTCTTACCAGGGAACCTCATTACAGAGAGGCAAACACTGACCATGCCAACAATTCCCTCAGGGACTCTGGGACTCTTGCTTACATTAAGCATTAAAGTATATGACTGAAAACAGGTACTTCTGCGTCACCTCACCCTTTTGCTAAAGATTTCTGTCCCTGTAACAGGATGACCTAACAACTTGTTGAAGCACTGCAATTTTTACCTTAGCATCTTAAAGATGACTGGAGTACTTCCAACAGTGAAACCCATGTACTTCCTAAATAATTATTGGCTAGAATACAATTGGAAGTTGGAAAAACCATCCATATTTCCCCTTCCAGCCTCTCCTTTGTCCCCTGCCCTGAAAATCATTCCACATGTATGACAAGCCTAACTTAGGGAGGCTGTTTAAACCAGTAATTTCTAGCTGATCAGCTATCTTCTTTCTAGCATCTAATTCAAACTTATGTAGCCTCCTAGAACTGAGAGAAAATGGGATTCATCTCACACTCATTTTACAGAGGTGTATATTATATTCAAGAAGAGGCTTCTGTTCACACCTGACTTGGTTTAAGTCTGAATTTCTACAGCAGTGCATGAGCACAGCCACTGAACAAAGCAACGTGGAGAAACCAGCCCAGCCAACCCTGGTACTTACCAAACAGAGAGGGTGGCTGCAGTGGTGAGAGCCATGACGTAGGAACCTGTGCAATGGAGGGTGGAGATGGGGGTGTTCAACACTATAGGGGGAAGAAGGCGACGACCACAAGCGGAAAATACTGACAATGTTCGTTTTTCACAGGCTACACTTACAATCTCACTAAAAAAAATAAAAATAAAAAAATAAAAAAGATAATATGAATTAATACTAACAGTATTAATTATTATTATTTTTTCTACATAAGTGCATAAAGTTACCTTTAGAGCCTCTAGCTATTTGTAAAATGTGCTTATACTTTTTGATGTAGTTGATGCTCCCCAAAATTTGAAAACTTGAAAAATTCTATTTTATAATGATCATGTGAAACCTAAAAACATTTTCTGGCCTTCCAGGATGCTTATCTTTGCAGGTTCACCTTCCTCAAAATCCATATTAACTTACCAGCTTCCTGCTGCAGTAAGAATTCGGCTGGTGAGGACAGTCTCCCATTCCTTTCCTTCTCGATTACACTTTAACCTACTCAACTTCAAACCTCCCACTGTGGTCATTTCATTCTCCACTTCAAGGTACATTGACGGATCTGTACTTATCTGAAGAACAAGAAAACAAAATCTTTTTCTGAAGAGGAAAATGTCTACTCAACAACAAACGAAAAAGGAGACTGATCCTGCAAGGATCAGTCTTGGCTAGAGCATATGAATCATTTCTGTCTATTCGGAGCACAAGAATGGAGGAAGGGTTTGTGCTATTCCATAAAGCTGTGCTTCCCATTTAGCGACCTCAAACCAAGCCTAGATACTTCTGGTCTTCCTGCATTCTTGCAATTAGATTATCAATGACTAATCACACAAATAAAACGTTTCATAAATAAATAAATTAATACTATTTCCCAGTCTCCTCGGATGGACAGGACCTCTCAGAAACTATTTTTTTCCTCTTCAGCAGTGCACTACCAACACAACTACAGTAACAACACAGCTTTTATTACAGAAAGCATTAAATTCCCAACATACTTTGACTAATATGTAATATACATGCACACGCGCACAAACATATATAAATACATGCACATTTTTGTAGAAGCTGAAGAACACACCATGCCTGCCTGAACAAGTACGTCCATATTTGTAAAAATAAGCAAGATTAGACCTCTATTTTTCAAATAATCTACTTACTTGCAAAGTAAATATTTTCTGGGGGATTGGGGTTGGCAGTTTAAGTGCTAATGCTGGTGCAGCAGCATCTTTCTCAGAGGCCAGTGTAGCAGGGGACTGGAGAGAAAAACAAAAAGAAGGGAGAGAGATAGAAAGAGAGAGAAAATGGTTATTATTTTCCTTAAAAAAAAAAAACACTCTATGCTATAGGTTTCCTGGAAAGGGAAAAACCTTTTAGAAATTCCAAGTAATACCTGTTGCAAATGTCTATTTTATTCCCACTATTTTCATAAATGCAAGTGTTTTTAACCTGAAGTCTAAGAATCAAAACAAACAAAACCAAAAACTAGATGTGGCCATTACTTTCTGCAACAGACTCTTTTTACTTTTTCAACTGGAACCAATTAATGAAAATTCTGGTACACTTCATGAAAAAGGCAAGCACAAAACACTGAAAATAGAGAACTCAATATATGCCCAAAAGATGGAAACTCTTGATTTAATTTACTACTTGACAGATCCTCAGTCATAACCACTCAAATCATGAAATCCAAGTCACACTCTGTGCTTATGCCATGCCCCAAAGAATAATAAGCCAGTGGATTTTTTTTAATTCCATACAGACATTTGGCACAGTTACCACCCAGCACGCTGGTGCCATTTAGTAAGGAGCTGTACTTGCATTTATCTAAGCACACAGCTTTGACACCATGTTCACCCTCTATTTAAAATCTTAAAGTTATAAAAGAATAATGTTAAAAGCAAGGAAGACAGATGGGTGAAAATTCTGAGGGACCTTTAATTATTGCTCTTTCCTGGACTTGATCATGGCTAAAGCTAAGACAGGTAAACACAGGAGTTTATCATATGAATATCAAACAATTTAATGAATGTTATCCATCAACTTATTTTACCTGAACAGTTAAAGTCACTGGTACAAGTCTGGAGTCTTTTCGAGGCCTTCCTTTTTTCTTCTTTTCTACTATTTCTCCCTCAAGGTCCAGT